TTGACAATCAAATCCTCAAGACTATGGCAATCCGTCAGACAGTTCCAGCTTTCAGAAAACATGCGGCTAGCTAAGGCAATTTCTGTATCATCGAATGACAAAAATTTATCATTTGCTAAAGCATTACTCTTACTCGGCGAAGGAAAAAAACAAAAATCTGATTTCGGCATTGTCAAGCTCAATCATATCAATACCAAGGCCTGCAACTCAAAGGACGAAATGCGTCACGTATTAACTGAATTTGTTTACGGAAATTTGAGGAAGCGGTCCGAATCAAGTCAACTCGACGACGTTGCCTACCTGAATGAACGTTGTATCTTGGCGCCGTTAAACCGAGATGTCAAAAGGCTGAATGATGAGATAATAGATTTGTTGCCAGGTCAAGCAGCATGTTTAAAATCAATCGACACACCTGATCCAGATGGCGTGGGAAGTTTGCCAGAAGAATGTCTCAACAAGCTAAGCATTGGAGGATTTCCGGACCATGAACTGAGGATCAAGATTGGCATGCCCCTTGTCGTCATCAGAAATATGGATATAAAAAACGGGGTTTGTAACGGCTCCCGCATTGTTGTTGTCAACTTTGGGGTGGGGTTCATTGCCGGCAAGTTAATGTCGGGTCCATTTGCTGGGAATGAAATAACCTTACCGCGGGTAAAACTTCACAATAAGTCAAGTAGTCGGTCGGGCCTGTCCTTTTTCCGTTATCAATTTCCCGTGGCTCCAGCTTACGCTATGTCGGTCAATAAGAGCCAAGGGCAAACACTTGGTAGAGTAGGTGTTTATCTGGAGACGGATGTTTTTTCTCATGGCCAACTTTATGTCGCTCTCTCAAGGGTCTCAGATGTGACGAATCTACTTGTGGTCAGGCCAAGGATTAGGGAAGGAATTGTTAATGTTGTGCATAGGAAAATATTCAAGATTCGTTATACAAGTGAGTTGTTTGGGTTTCCACTATTTCAATTACAGGAAACTGATATTTGTTTGTGGTGATATGGAGATTCAACGCAAGGATGAAATAACTGGGGAATAATTTTGTTTAAGCTCTCTGGGTATTTCTCTTCTGATATGATTTGTAGTCTTCACAATAAATAGAAATTGTGTTGAAATTTATTATCAGCACAAGTTCTGTCGTGTTGGGTCATGTTACTTGTTTGCCTTGTTAATGTGTGGGGGTGGTGTGTTGTGACTGAGGTGAAGGTGATCGGGTACCGTGATTACTTGTTAATGAGTTGCGGTGGAATTTTTCTTATTGTGTGTTTGACAATCAGGTTGACAAATGTAATGTTCAGGTTTGCCTAGGGGTGAGATTGATTGGCTGGGGGGACTGTACCCAGGCGCGCTCACCTTGCTGGTAAGCCATTAACTAAGGGGGTTGGAGGGCAGCGGCGCAGCCGCCTTGGCCTCTAGTTTTTCAATTAATTATTGTTTACATACATGTTTCTACCTCATTTTTTATGTTTTTTGAAATTTTAAATTTATTTCCTAGGTTTCAATGTGTGTAGAATTTAATGGTGTAATCCAAATTTTTCCAAACTCAACGGTACATTTTTAATACTGAAATTTGACATTTTTTTTCACTTAAATTTCTACAGGTTAATTTTCATTCTTTTTTGATGTTTTAAAATTTTCTCCTGCACTTTGAGACATGCAAAAAATTATGGTAACAACCATTTTTTCCCAAAATGAAAACCATACCTTGAATGCTGCATTTGACACATTTTTTTAATTAATCCTTCACGTTTTCACTTAATTGTTTGCATACATGTGTGTACCTTATTTTCTATGCTTTTTTGAAATTTTAAAGTTTTTTCCTACATTTAAAAGTGTATAGAATTTAATGGTAATATTCAATTTCCATAAAGCTCAATGGTTCATTCTGAATACTGTAATTAGTCTTATTTTTCAATTGATTTTGGGCCTTAATAAAAAAACGCGGTTTTTCCGCGTTTTGACGCGGTTTTGATGCGCCGCAGCACACGCGGTTTCCGCTTTTAGACGCGGTTTTTTAATTAATTTTTTACGCCTTATTTTTCGAGTTTTTTTGAATTTTTAAAATTGTTTCCTAGGTTTCAAAGCGCGTAGAATTTAATGGTGAAAACCAATTTCCATAAAAATGAGTTTTAATTATTAATTTTTTTTCTACTCATTTTTTCCATTAATTGTATGCATACATGTTTTTACCTTATTTTTCATGTTTTTTTGAAATTTTAAATTTATTTCCTAGGTTTTAATGTGCGTAGAATTTAATTGTGCAATCCAATTTTTTTAAAACTCAACGGTTCATTTATAATACTGAAATTAGACCCATTTTTTCACTTAATTTTTTACAGCTTAATTTTCATCATTTTTTGACATTTTAAATTTATTTCCTACACTTTAAGACATGTAGAAAATTATCGTATCAACCATTTTTCCCCAAGTTGAAAACTATACCTTGAATGCTGCATTTGACACGTTTTTTTAATTAATTAATCACTTTTTCACCTAATTGTTTGCATACATGTGTGTACCTTACTTTTTATGCTTTTTTGAAGTTTTACAGTTTCTTCATACATTTAGAAGTGTGTAGAATTTAATGGTAACATCCAGTTTTCTTAAAACTCAACAGTTCATTCTGAATACTGTAATTAGTCATATTTTTCAATTGATTTTTAAGAGCTTAATTTTCATTATTTTTTGACATTTTAAATTTTTTCCTACACTTTAAGACATGTTGAAAACGATGGTAACAATCACTTTGCATCAAAATAAAAACTGTATCTTGAATAATGCCTTTGACAGGTTTTTTTAATTAATTCTTACATGCTTAATTATCCTTATTTTTTGGAATTTGAAGTTCATTTCCTACACTTTGAAAGGTTTTAAAAATGATGGCTTTATCCATTTTGCATTCAAATAAAATTTGTATACGGTACAAATTATGCAAGAAATACGCTCACGTATTAAGATTGAGGCTTTGACTTTTAGGAAAATTGGACTTCACTATTAACTTCTAAACATTTTTAAATGTAGGAAATAAATTTAAAATTTCAAAAAATGATTAAAAACCAGCCGGTAACAAGCAATTAACAAAACATTAAAAAAAACATGCCCAACGCAGTATTCAATAACATTCTTTGGTTTTTATGCAAAATGATAGTTACCATCATTTTGAACATGTCTTAAAGTGTGGGAAATAAATTTGAAATTTCAAAAAAGAATGAAAATTAGGCTTCAAAAATTTAAGTAGAAAAATGAGTGTAATTTGAGTATTAAAAGTGAACCGTTGAGTTTGAAAAAAATTGGACTGCGCCATTAAATTCTGCGCACATTAAAACCTAGGAAATAAATTTAAAATTTCAAAAAAACATGAAAAATAAGGTAAAAACATGTATGCATACAATTAATGGAAAAAATGAGTAGAAAAAAAAATTAATAATTAAAACTCATTTTTATGGAAATTGGTTTTCACCATTAAATTCTACGCGCTTTGAAACCTAGGAAACAATTTTAAAAATTCAAAAAAACTCGAAAAATAAGCCGTAAAAAATTAATTAAAAAACCGCGTCTAAAAGCGGAAACCGCGTGTGCTGCGGCGCATCAAAACCGCGTCAAAACGCGGAAAAACCGCGTTTTTTTATTAAGGCCCTTGATTTTTAACAGCTTAATTTTCATTATTTTTTGACATTTTAAATTTGTTTCCTACACTTTCAGACATGGTCAACATGATGGAAACAATCAATTTGCATCAAAATAAAAACTGTATCTTGAATAATGCCTTTGATGTATTTTTTGAATTAATTCTTACACACTTAATTACCCTTATTTTTTGGAATTTTAAGCTCATTTCCTACACTTTGAAAGGTTTCAAAATTGATGGCTGTATCCATTCTGCATTCAAATACAATTTGTATACAGTACAAATTATGCAAGAAACGGGGTACACTCACGTATTATAATCGAAGCTTGTATTTTTATGGAAATTGGATTTCACCATTCAATTCTACACATCTTTAAATGTAGGAAATGAATTTAAAATTTTGAAAAATGATTAAAATCCAGCTGGTAAAAACCAATCAAAAAAACATTAAAAAAAACATGTCCAACACAGTATTCAATAACAGTCTTTGGTTTTTATGCAAAATGGTTATTACCATCATTTTACTCATGTCTTAAAGTGTGGGAAATAAATTTAAAATGTCAAAAAATAATGAAAATTAAGCTGTAGAAATTTAAGTGAAAAAAATGTCAAATTTCAGTATTAAAAATGAACCGTTGAGTTTTAAAAAATTTGGATTACACCATTAAATTCTACACACATTGAAACCTAGGAAATAAATTCAAAATTTCAAAAAAGCATAAAAAATGAGGTAGAAACATGTATGTAAACAATTAATTGAAAAATAAGTGGAAAAAAAAATTAATAATCAAAAGTCATTTTATTGGAAAATGGACTTCACCGTTAAATTCTACGCACTTTTTCACCTAGGAAACAATTTTAAAAACTTAAAAAAAATTAAAATTAATGGCAAAAATAAATTAATTAAAAATGCGGGTTTAAACACGGAATGCGCGTGTGCTGTGCCGCAGCAAAAGTGCGTCAAAACGCGGAAAATGCGGGGTTTTTTATTAAGGCCCTTGAAAAAAATCAATTTTATTTTTTATTTTTCACAAATTTTGAAACTTTATTTTTTGCTTTTATTATTTCATAAGGGGGGTTCACGATAGCCTTTATGGCTTCTGGTCCCCCGTAAATAAATTCTTGCTGGTCCCGATTTTCTGTTAAATTTTAAGCTAAAAACAATCGCAAATTTTTGACCAACATCCATAAAATCTTGTTAGTCATCAGATAAAATTAATCACCCACATGTGGCCCGCTTACGTGTAACACAAGCCATACGTGTAACACATGCCATTCGCTCGGGTGATACAGTTCACATCACTTCCTTCAGGTATTCGATCACACATCTCACCATCTCACCTATCATCCAGAGCTACTCCTTCATCCTCTGCCTCACAACCGACCCGGCCTAGACTAGCCCCTAATGTCGGTCAGTCAGGTAAGCCGGCCCCCCTTTTTTCTTGGATATCTCTTGGATTGGAAATTCAACATTATTCTCCTCAATTCTCTGCCCAGCTTGATCCTACTCTGTTAACACTTACCCCTTCAAGTGACCGTTTGGGACCCCCTCCCCCTGGGAGTCAGACAAGTGGGCCCGATGTGACAGGCCTCACCCTTGCTTCTAACCTTTCGAATGTCTCTGGCACTCAATCCCCTCATCTCAACACACCTGCTGAAGGGGCGACTGGGAAGAAGAAAAGATACCGCCGTACCCAGAAGGAAATGGCTGCGTTTCGCTCAGAGCAGGCCCATCTTAAGAAGCTCAAGGCCCTCGAGAAAGCAAAGGAGAAGCGAGCAAAAAGTCGTGGTCGTGGTGGTCCATCTCGTCGTTCAACCCACACCTCAGCCTCCGAACAAACACAGGCCAATTCCAATCAACCATCAGCACCGGTCGCTTCGCAACCATTGGTCCCGGACGCCAACCCTCCGTTCGACACTTATGACTATGAGAACGTGTGTTCCTACCTTGAAGAGGAAGCGAACTATACTCGGCTCTATGGCGATGGATCGAAGACGTCGGTTGGGAAGAGTAAGGTTACAAAGGGAGCGGCCTATGACATGTTTGCGATCTTCATCAACAGCAGTTCAAACAATCGCCTTCGTCTGACTGGGAGCCAACTTCGCCAACGGATCGATGGGTACAAAAAACAATTCATCAAAGCCAAAGACTTTGCGGACAATACCGGGGCCGGTATTGAAGAAGGTGATGGCCTACCGACCCTTGCCGAGCTGCTCGAGAAGAAATGCCCGTGTTACGATCGGATGTACGCGATCTTTGGCGGGAAGGCGAATGTTACCCCATTGGCTCAGTATGACTCCGGGGTGGGTGCCAACCTATATGGAGATTCACCGAACCTGAGGGAAGTTGAGGATCCAACTGGGTCCCCTGAGGTCTTCTTCTCCGGATGGGAAGAGAGCGACGTTGATCAACCTCCTTCGGGGGCAAACACCCCTGCCGCCGGGCTGGATTTCAACCGCTGTCGAAGCGCTATCGATCGCCTCGGAATCGTTAATTTACCAAACTCGGATGGGGAGGGGGACCTGGACGATGATCTGCTCCCCCCTCCCCTGGACTTCAGTGGAACAGCGATGGATCCCTCACCTAGCCTGATGACTCAACGGTCGATGACTCGTGCAACTCAAGGATCTGCTAACCCAGCCGCCAATGGAGGAGTTTTGGTCCCCTCGGCCTCCCAGTTAAGCACTCCTGACCCAGGATGTCCTTCTCCATCAAACGGTGTTAGTACCGGCCGCCGCCCGTTCCCTAATCAGCGATCCATGGATGCCAGCCCCGCCGGACCGGTCCAAGAGGGGAATGGGAAAGCAAAATCGACCTTGGCTAGTGCTTTCGAGAGCTCAAACTCGGAGAAATTCGCCTATCTGAAAGCGCACATGGCGTGGGAGAAGGAGAAGGAGGACAAACGACTTGCGTGGGAGAAGGAACGTTATGATAAGGAGGCGAAAAGGGCTACCGAAGGAGCTCAAGGACTAGCCAAACTGGCTGAATCAAAGTTGAACGCCGCTCAAGCGTGGATCAATCAAGGCAAATCGTCCAGCGAGGTGGACCTCCTATTGAAGGCCATCTATGGATAATTCAATTGTGGTAGTGAGTAAGTTTCCTCCTCCATTGCCCTATATACGGGCTTGACGCTAACTTGGTCCTCATGTGTAGTGAATTTGACTGCGTCTTTGGGCTTCCGAGGCGCCTGCTCTTATATTACTCTGAGCCAAAGATGTTGGGCCATGTTCAAGTGCCCCTTTGGACCGGTTGCCTTCGTTATGTTTTTCTTCTACGTCCGGATATTCATTTTTTCTTCTACTTTCGGATAGTCTTGTCTGTCATGGATTGCTTGTCATGTCTGTGTTACTCTGTCATGCCTGATTCCCGCCATGTTGGCTGTGCTTAGATGGTCTATGATTTCACCTAAGAATGCCACTTGAACACGGTTACTAGACCACCTTGCCTGATGCTTCTACTTGACCGCCGAGCCAATTGTATCGGACTTTTCCGCTGTGCCAACCTCCTACATGTGGGACTGTGTATAAGTCCTGTATGATACAGGAGGCCTCGGCCGCTGCCGGGTGTGACCCGGCCATGGTTTCACTAGCCCAAGATAGCAAGAGAGCCACATCCTCACAGGCTTATTCGCTTCAGACATCTACTAATGTTGTCCGCGCGACCACGACAGCAGAGGAGGGATCCACCATGGGATCTCGACGGTTTCAACCAAGGCCCCTCAAGCAATTCTATACTACTACAGTGGATAACCACCGAGGACAACTACCGCCGATGGGACAGCACGACCTTTGAGCCAGCTGAACGTCTGATTATCTGCGAGGAGATCGTTCGCCTCATGCAAATGGAGGGCATTGCTCATCGACATGCCAGGGGTAAGATACCAAACTTTCATGCTCGATCAAACCACATACACTGAATCGTGATACTCTTAGGCATTAACACCCGCATTCAAATATTGCGACGGTCGTACTTAACCGCACGTGAATCTTGTTCCATTCACACCTAGGTTATGCACGGAGGGTTTGCCCCTTTTGGGATGTCCTTGACCCCGTTATTGGGGGGCAAGAGGCCCAAACCGCCCGATTTTACCAAATGGCTAACAGCGAACAGTCCTCAGACACTGAATCAACCAACACCACATGATGAATAAATCGTCTAATAAGACGTCATCTCGTATTTTAATCAATTGCAATGGCATTGCCCCCTTTTGAGGCAAAACCAAGTGAGAGCATAATTGAGACAACCAGATCAAATCAGAGTGAGTCGATAGGTGAGATGATAAGAATTGGAGTGAGATGATAAGAATTGGGAAGACCAGATAAAAACAAGTGGTGTTGATAATTAAGCCAAGAAGAGAAACTAAATTGGTAATACACCCAACGAGTAGTTGATATCTAAACATTTAGCCTGGACAACCTCTCGATGCTCTTTAGCAGTATCCTCATTAGCAGTATCTTCATTAATCCCAGTCCCTTCCGATGCCAGATGATCAATGCCGGGGGCCTCCAAGGCATCCCATGCATCACCAAGATGGGCCAGGATGCTGTGCAATGTAACACAACAGTTGACCCATCTGATAACCTCCATCATGTCCGAAGGCTTTTGAATCGCTAGTCGGAGATGTTGGAGTGAAGCCCAACGACCTTTGAGGATTCCAATCGTGTGCTCATTCCGGACTCGTGAACGCGCAAGACAATAGTTGAAGTCGGAGTTGTCCTTGATGTAAGCAGCAGGAGCCTTGTACGCGGGGATGCAGTGTACGCCCAACTCATAAGCCGAGTCCGCGATCAGATATTGTCCTGCATTATACATACCAATCAGTTAGCAAATCAGATGGATCATCAGATAAATAGAAAGTGCGGACCTCGATCAAAAAACAACGTTGGCTCCTTATGGAGCATCATCCTCTTGAAGACCATACTATTGCCACAAGAACCCGGCCAGCCAGTCATGTAGGCAGTGATGAATCGGTCACAGTCGCATACAACCTGACAATTGATCGAGTAGTGCTTCTTTTGATCAAAGAAAACTTCTCCATCGATCGACGGGCGCTGGTACAGGGGTATGGTAGTTCCATCGACAAACCCAACACAACCTTCGAATCCTTCACACTTCATGACATCAGAAACCTCCTTTCGTCGAACCTCGTCAGGCCACATAAGGTACTTCTCCGACAGATCGTTAATCGCCCGGATGACCCGGCGGCTGGCCTTGACCACAGTCCCGCGGCCCACACATAAATTCCTTGAGAATCTCCCGACAGAAGCACCATTACCGTTTGAACCAAGCCTTTCGAGAGTGAGTGCTAATTGGTGAGGGATTGGCAGTTGCGGTCAAAAGCTGTTGCTGTAAAAGATTGGGTTTAAATTAACTTGGCTCAAAAGCCACGTAAAGCCGGACTTCGTTGTGCGGACCGCCTGCTTGAAGTCTTCATCTCGCATATCAAAAAGCTGAGCCAAATCGAATTCGTCACGCAATCTTGGAGGCAATCGGGTATGTAAGTAGCGACTCGATAGGACCAAATGCAAGAGATCTGATACCATAGATTCGTCGTCAAACATAACGTCTAGTAACAACGCGCGGCCGGGATTCTCGGGGGCAGCGATCCTTCCAAGCGAGGGGAGAACTGGAATGTTGATTGTTGAATCAAGGAGGTCGTCGGTCTCTTGCTGGTGGAGGAATATGAGCATCATGAACAGATCTCGGAGAATCTGTTGTCGTTCGCTGTATTGGTGCATCAGGGAGTTGATCGTCGCCGGCCAGCGTCAGGGAACAAATCAGGTTGTGTGATGTGAGAGCCGTGAGAGTAGATCGTCGCCGGCCAGTGTCAGGGAAAAATTCTGGTCGTGCGATGTGAGAGCCGTGAGAGTAGATTGTCGCCGGCCAGTGTCAGGGAAGAATTCTGGTTGTGCGATGTGAGAGCCGTGAGTAGACTTGATGCCAGGGTATCGTGAACCCAACTACTGGCGAGTCTTACTCGTGAAGATTTCTTGTGTGTTAAAAATTGCTTAAAATTTTAAAATGCGCAGCTTGCGCAACCTTGCTGGGGGGTCATTAAGCTTTGCTGGTCAAAAGCTATCGTGAACCCCCCTATTATGCACCACCTGACCAAGTCTCATGATTTCAAATTTGTGTTTTGGAGCTCTGGAATCCAAAATAAGCAGCCACTTTTCACTGTCTAGGCACTGTACACCAAGAGTCAGGATTTGGTCTAAAACAAAAAACATGAGGCCAAGTACCAAATTGGTGCTTGGTTTGATGGCCAAAGGAACAAAACAATTGATGAATTTGAAACTAATATAGGACTTGATTAGATTGAGCCTAGGTCAAGAATTGTGACAAAATGGTGATTGCATTGATTGATGAAGTAGGCAAAAAGACAATAAACCTAGGCTAGACAACAGAAGTTGACAATGGTTTTATTCAAGATAAATCCCAATAAAAAACAAAAACATGGCTAGGAGTTGGGAGCTTGCTTTTATTTTTCAGGGGACTCGACATGTCAACAGCCTTTCCTTTTCCTTTGGGACTTGGGCTTAAAGCAAGTGGGACCACATCAGAGGAGATGATGCCCATGTCGTGGGTGGCATTTCTACTGGTGCCTTCACCTTTGTCTCTGGATTTAGGTTGCAAAGCATTGTTTTGTTCCAAGGTTAGCTCAGTTTTGGATTTGGGATTTGTTCAGGAGGACCAAAGCCTACCAATATCAAGACAATGGCAAAAGGTCAAGATGCTGGCTTGGATCCTGGAACAAGGAAGGGACAGGATGAAGGATAGGAGCATTAGGGAGGTTGATAAACTCGCATTTAGCCTAGCTTTATGAATTCTTCATGGTCAGTGTAGATGGTAAAGGAAACTGGGAATAAGGAAATATATAAATGTGTATTGTGTATGTTAAAGAGGAAAGAAATTTGATCACAGAGGTTCACTTTAATGACCAGATGTGGTGAGTGAAAGATGTAAAAAGAATATAATTGGAAAATATAAACTCATGAGTGTTGATCAGAAAAAGAAACATGAAAAATAGTGGAAACATAAACAAAAGGAAGGAAAAATATAAAAAGAGGAGGGTTGATGTGGGAGGGTAGGCCAGAACAAGTTGAGGAAGAGAATTGATGTCTCTTCCGCCATTGCCTTGTGCAATACTTGTTCTGGAGGGGAGTTTGTCGTTTAATGTTAAACAGTTGAATGATGAATGAGAATTTATGAGGTACTACTGAAAAAAATGTGCTTATTCAGGTGTATTTTCCTTCTTACTTAACCTTGATTGAGCACAATGGTTTAAGATCACAAGTTGTACTGGTTGTTACTTTCCTTTTCCTATGCTTCTCAACGTCTGAATGATCTCAATGGGGCACTTGATTAAGATCACACTGGTTAATGTATGGATTGATTGCTCTTTCTGTCTGGTTGCTGATCAGATGAGATGATGATCTGATGTGATGAGATGATGAGATGATAAAAAGTTGGAATGAGGGGGGAGAAGCCCTCCTTAAATAGTCTATTTTACAACCTGGCTGACTTGTGGTTCTAGCCCTAACCAATAATCTCTAAATGGCCAACTTGTAGTTTTAGCCCTAACATGTAAATATGTAATGACCAGCTTGTGGTTCTAGCCCTAACCAATGATGAATATGCATCTAAAAAAATATGGCCAAATTGTGGTTTCCCACTATACAAAAATTCTCAGTGTACATACAAACAATGTGGCCAACTTGTAATTTACATTATGCAATAAGAATTTTGTATGCAGATAAAATTTAAATCCCAAATGACTTTTGACTGAGTGGAGCTAGCCTAGTGGTTTCAGTGAGTGACTATGGGTTAAATGACCCGTAGAATGTGATTATGCCATGATACGCCTAAGAATATATGCCCTTCTCAATAGTGAGCTGTGCCTTTATGAAATTTGATACTTGAAACACAATTGGCATACTACATCCTTCCCTGTCAGCCACAGAGCACCTTTCACAGTACGTGAAATGTACCTAGTAACTGCAAGAATAATAACTAATTGAATACTGGAAAATACTATACATTGCTGTTAGAATAATAAATAAATAAATATGTATTTACATTTAATCTTAATTCATAATTTATATTTAATAATTCTATAATTAACTGTGAAATCCCCTTGAGTAGTGTACATATAATATCACTAGGATTTCACAGAAATATCATTAGAATAAAGTATTAAAACATTGTTTATTCTTATACATTATGTACATATTTTATAAGCCATAAATAATTACATATGTATAAAGAATCAGCTAGTAGAAGCGTGAAATGGATGAGGAATAAGCTATACACATTTATCTGAAGCTTACCCATCCTTGATCACATCATCAGGGCATCATATTGCATCATAACCCTCTTGGATGGCGTCATCAGGACCCTTTTGTGCTCTAATTCAAAGCTTGCATAATTCAAAGCAGCCTACACGAGAAAGGAGCCCAAATTCTACATGCAAGACTGAATTATGCATGAAGGACATGCATTTCTCATGATCACAAGCTTGCATAAGCAGATTTACACGTATGCAACCAACTCTACAATTGCACAGCCCCTGCACAGTAACTGTAGCCTTTTCAATTACGTGAGAAATAGGCCACAAAACTCAATTATGCATGTATGATCTCATGTCCTAGGACCTTCCACCCATGCATAGCACTGCACAGCTGCAGCTCCCAGCCTTACACGAAATTGTAGAGCTGCTAAGAAGCTCCCTAGTGCCCTGAGGGCCTCTCCTCTTCCCCTGAGCCCCCTGTAGAATATTTAAGGAGCTCAGATTCCTACCTTTTCCCCCCAGGAAATTCTAGTAGCATCAAACCAACACTTGTACCGTGATTATTAGTGATTCAACCCACCAATAACATTACAATCCAGCTACCTTAGACCTAAATAGATTTACTTTGCTCAGATTCAAGGCATTTCTACTTATCTCTATTGCATAAAGAATTATCCCCCAGGTTAAACAATTCTGGTCCTTAAGTGTTGATACACTTATTAATCTAGATTGTTGTTAAAAGACTAATCCCAAGTGAGTTGAAGAAGTCCTCACCTTGGAAGCCTATTAATCCATACAAGAGGATTGATCTGGATGCCCAATTGAATAATTGGATGAGTCAGCAGTAGAAGTACCATTCCTCACTGACTCCTCCCTGTTTCTTTTACAGGTTGAGGGATTTAACCACGATTCGAATAAACCTTCTCAATTACTCTTCTTGTTAACACTCAGAGCACAACCCTTACAGTTTAGTAGCATAGAGGCTGACATTCCCCAACTTAATGCTGTCCACAGCATTCCTATTTCAAGGATCAAATTTTCCATGCGCAAGGAGTACCCCAATTTTTGGACATATGCACAAAGAAATGACCCCATCTATAATATACAAGCTCCACCACCTCTTATCCTGTAGAATTGAACCTTGCAACCCTTCCATGACCAGTCTTTACCAAGTGTCTCACACACCAATTCCTAGATATCACTGATCCCATTGGATGTACCCAAAAGAAAACATTTCTTTGACCCAGCAGAATCAATTCCTATCCACGGGCCCAACACCAGATCCTCACATTCTTCTCCTTGAAACCATCCTGTAACATAGCTTTTTTCCCGCTCCTTGAAGAAACACTGGGGTTGTAATAATTTTGTCATTTGGCTTTTTTTAATCCCTTTTCTGTTCATTTCAATTTGCTCTTCTCACTTTGTGTACCACCACAATATTAGAATACCCTCCAGAATATCTTTGGGCCACTTACAAAGACCTGAGTCAAAAGTTTCACCAAGATTGCAAGACTTGTGCTAAATATCTGGGAGAGCAAATTATATTAACACCCTTAAATAGGGACGCGGCTACAATTAACACCAAAATGTTAGCAAATCTTAGCAATAGGACTCTTATTCCAAGGTCTATAGACAAAACCAATGACAATGCCCTTGATGCGGTATTGTTTGAAGCATTAAACAGTATATCTTTTCCAGGATTTCCCCTCCATACGTCAGAACTGAAGATAGGTGCACCAATAGTCTTGCTCATGGGACCCAGATAGTGATTGAAGGTATTTATCAAAATGTTATTAGTGGTAGGATTATGACAAAAGACCAGGTATTTACCCATGGGAAATTACGCGTGACATTGTCTAGGTTCAAGAATGTTTGAGATTTATTTGTAACTCAAGTGGGCTCAGTTGATGTTGTGGTGAAACAAATATTTAATTCTTAAGGGCACAAGCTGTGAAGAACTTAGGATGGTTAAAATGACTAGGTATAAATTTGTAATGTATTCAAATCAAAATCTAGGGTGTTTCCAAGTTTTGGGAGCTACTAGGTGGTGCAGCCGACCTTAGACACTAGTAGATCAAAATCAGAAGAAAAGTGCATCATCATCCATCCTTATTTGTCATGTCATGCCACCTCAGCAATCAAACCCATATCAGCAAAACACAATCTGAATGTTACACGTGTGCTAGGGTGAGATTTAATTTTTTTTGGGCAATTGTATGTCTGCATCACACTAAGATTACAGACGACAAGGCCGTTTCAACTTGTTAGACTCACTTGACTAATCTATGTACTCCCTCATTTGCTTAGCAGTAAACCACTGGTTCATTTGCGTCGATTAAGGGAGGCGGAAAGGCACCCCCCCCCCCCTCCACTTTCAGAGTGACTTAGCCAAGCTAGATCCAATACACATTTATCCTCATTTTGCTCATAATACCCATAGGCACCTCGTGTTGTGCACTCAAAAGGCATTGGTAGATATATTCCAAGGTGAGAGTTTCTAATTCTTTTGGTATTGTGCATTCTTGGTCTTTGCTTTCAAGCAAACATCTTCCTCACCTCCGCTTCATCAATGTTGAAAAAGGTTGGCTGGGCGCCTCACTACTTGTTGGGCAAGCAAATCACTGGAATAGTACATACATATACTTGGAGGGTAAGTAATAACCATGGGAAGTATTAGAGATTGGATGTGTACTGATTTCAAAATTTGAATGATCCGACAGGTCCCTGAAGAAAGAAGGCGATTGATTGAGATGAAGGCTTCATTTCCATGCATCTTTTTCATCATGCTTACAGCCTTACTAGCGAATAGAGCCATCGGTCTGTTCGAACGTCATGCCAAAGTGACCTCCTTTTATTTGGCGGAAAAGTGGGTACTGGCCCCTTATGAAAAAGTACCTCTATTTTTCGGCTCCACTGCCAGAAGTAGCAAAGCTGTGACTTCAGTGCTACCCGTATGGAACCAATTGGGCCTTGCATTTTTTGTGAATAGTCAGAACTGGGTCGTGTACAATCAGTTGAGAAGTCAGGTTATCATAACAGTCCATTTCAAAGATGACGATGGCCAAGATGCAAGTATCAATCACACTTTGGCAAACAATTCCGAACATTGTCTAGATATACCACACTCTAAAGAACTGAAAATAGACGTTATTTCCGTGGGAGGCATGCATTAGTGTTCTACAATAAAAAATACATTCTTATGAACCCAGAAACTTCCAACTATGCTCGAAATGAGATGCCGTCTCGCAGGTATCCTCCAGTGGTTTACCACTACAACCGGGGGCAGGAAATTAGGGAATACGCCAGCTGCAAAATGCTTCGAACCATAGATGTCGAGAATCAAAAGATACAACATTTTCCGGTAATTATAAAGGAGGAGCCCTGCCAATACATATTTAATCATAATCAGGAGAGCCCAGACGACGCGGCGAAGGCGGCTTGAAACCTCAGTAAATATAACACATCACTTGAATGAGAGTCAAAGCACAATTATCGATTGGAACAAAAAAGAAACAGATACATACTATAGGTGAAAGAAATTTGCATGACAATCGATCCTTGTTAATCAGACGAGAAATCCATATACACATCATAACTTTTATCGGATTGTGATGTCATCTCCGTAAGGATCTGATTGTATCTAAACCCATAGCAGCAAAATAATATCAGTGACAGAAAGTTACACAGATGCTAGGGTCACATTTTGTATCACACTAAGAGTACAGGTGACGAGGCTGTTTCGACTTGCTATACTCCAACATGACCAATTCCCTCCCTGACATGCGGAGTGGTAAACCACAGGCCACATACTGGAGGGAGGGGGCACGGCCCCCGTCCATTTTCAGAGGGACTTGGCAGTCAGGGACAATCTGGGGCAATACGCATTTCTCCTCATTTCTCGCATAGTAATAACCGTAGTCATCAAGTGTTTGCTACTCAAGAACCATTGGCTGATATATTTCAAGGTGAGAGTTTCTCATTTTGGCATTGTGCATGTCTTCGCTCTAAGCCAACATCTTCCTCAACCCCACTTCATCAATCTTGACGTAGGTCGGCTAAACTAACTCCTTGTTGCACAAGCAACTTATTCAATCAGTATACTTGGAGGGTAAGTGATAATCGCGTTGAGTATCAGAGGTTGGATGTGTGCTCAAACGTTGAATGATCCACCTTACCCCTGAAGAAACAAGGCGATCGGTTGAGATGAAAACTTCGTTCCCATGCATCTTCCTCATCACGCTCACAACCTTACTGGCGAATAGAGCAGTAGGTCTATTAGGACGTAGTGCCAAGGTGACGGCCGTTTCTTGGCCAAAACAATGGGTACTGCCCCCTCATAGAGCCCCACCTCCCGAGGAATTTCGCCTCTCCCAAGTTACGACTCTACCGGTCTGGAAAACGTTAGGCCTTCGATTCTATCCTGGCGACGTGGACTGGAGTGCGCACAATCAGCTGAATTGTGAGGTTACCATAAGAGTCCACTTCAAAGCTGAAGATGGCCAACGTTCAAGTGTCGTTCACAATTTCGCTAGCGATTCCGGCCATGGTCTAAATATACCCCACTCTACAGAACTGACAGTAGATGTCGTTTCCGTGGGGGGAATGCATTAATATCATGATCACAGCAACCCCCAACTTTTCTCATAAACTTAACGACGTGGCTAGATAAACGGATGCCCCCACTGCAAGGGACGAACATCCATGTCCAAGAACTAAAAAAAGGCCGGTCACTGCTGTCCGGGAAGGGTCCTCCTAATCTAAGATTCTGCGCAAGCTCCTTGGCCGAGAGTAATGTATTATGTGTCCTACTCAACGAGTTAACACTGTCTTGTTGAGCTGGTGAAAACCCTCCTGGTCAGACTCAGCAGTCACGACGCATACCTTTTTCAACCGTGTTGGAGACCTTCTTAGAGTCCTTGACCCCAGTACTATATAGGACTCAGAATTAACTCAGCGTGGGCGGATGTTGAACCGTTTTGCTTCTGGGATTTGGGACGTCGGCTGAATTCTAAAAAAGCTATATAGACATTGCCCTTTGATAAAAAAGGGTCACCCGAGGTCACCCGCATGATCATTTCGGACTGGCCAAAATCTGGCTCAGTAACATATTTGCCTCGTGCAACTGTCAGCCCATCTGAAAACGCTTAATATAAAAATGGCTGGTGGTATTACTAGATTCAACGTGTTATGACTTGGCTGCTATCCTTGCAGGCGAAATACAGTTGTCCACTACCTAGGATGGTTTATTGTTGATTAGGACAAGCAATCCTTTCCCTCCCCCCGGTAAATGATCAGCGGATGAATTGTCACAAATATTATACTCCAATAATGATTGGTTGTGCAGTCGCTCAGCTTAACTTCCCCCGACCGGTCCCGCGCGCGTGTCGTCGCGTTTCGGCCGAAGTTCCAAGTGCTTGCAAGTAAAACAGACCCAACGAATAGTTGGGGGGGGGGGAGAGTCGTATAAACTGGCGCGTTGATTTTCAAAACTTCCGCCAAGTAAAGCTTGGTGGGATTCTGTGACTTGACTTGACGAGTTACATGTGAAAAATAATCCGTACCTTGGGGGACCCGAATCCCAACACAATGAAAACGGGATACATACATACTCGTCATGGAGCTGGATATACAAGTCAGATGGTAGATGCGCAATCAGTACGAGCTATCCGTAGCACTTAAGGACAGAATGATTTGGTTCCAATAAGGCGTTTACGCGGCGTGTACTTTTGTGAATGCGTGCCTACGGGTCAAAGGACATCGACACCGTTCGCAAGGCGAAAAGCTCCGCATAGACCCTTAAAGATCATCAGAAATATCAATATATGTATACACTTATGTCAAGTCAGAAGCGATATGACTGTGTCAAAACGGATACAAGCCTATACGAGCGGAGCGGTGGGCTGATGCATATATGCTCCATCGATCATGATAGTATACTCATCGTCCCGCAAGAATAATCAATGTCGCGCTATCATGGCGAATCTCTAAGGAAAAATTATGCGTGCTGCCAAAAGGCCGATGAGTCACTCTTGCCGGTAGACAGAGAAGATTGGAGGACAAAATTGGAAGGTCACTTATTCGCAACTTCAATTTCACTGCACGACTGCACACTCCGAATCCTCGGAGCTCGAGTCGACGACGCATTCAGCAATGCCCCCGAGGCTATAGTAAGACGGGCAGTTGTTAGTATGTAACTCACGAACAGACGAGTCGCGGATTCCAAGGAACGACAGGAAGAAAAGCTGCTTGTCTCCGTTGAGGAATTGAAAAAAGCAATCAACAAGTTATCTATACCCGTTGTTTTCATGCCATCTGCTTCAGCTTGACTGTGTCAACTCATTGCTTTGAAGTTTTTTACACCTGTTTGAAAAAGGAAGTTATCTCAAGTAATAAACTATAAAACTCTGGATCTTTGGACATCGTCCCACTCAGTAGATCATTCCTTCAGCTCCATCAGTCCTCCACCATTCTCACAGTTTAAGATATCTCTCCAGCTTACCGGACAGACTTCTGTACATTCTCGGCAAAAAATTTGGGCGCCCAACCAGAAGTCTCCTCCACGAACCTTGGATTAATTCCACCTTCGATTTAAAACCTGGAGTTTTCATAGTGAAACTGTACCCGATCAGTTGAGTAAATTTGCGCTTCGTGTATAATTCGCACCAGGCTCGATGCCCAAAAAGTCTTCAATATCCACAAATGATTATTCTCAAAAGATC